AGGCGTCTCATTGTGCGGCCAGTGTATCCTACTCCACGGCGGCAAATTAATGAGTAAATATGCGTCGATCTGCTTTGCGACGACGTGTGACAAATGGATTTTTGGGGTGTAACGTGGGAATATTCAGAGAAAGCTCGTTTTTATAAATCATTTGAGAGGCAATTCCCGCGTATAATTTGCGTGCAGCATGCTGTGATTAATGTTGGCAGCAAATAACTATGAATAAATACATACAGTATAAGTAGCGGTGTCTTGCGAGTGATATCCGTAAAGCTGACTCGATGGAATCTCATTAACGGTCCTGCCTGTTTACGCGCAACAATTTGCTCACTGCAAGTCCTCCTACTAAGGCTTCTAAATCCAATTTGCAAGTAAAGCAGAAATTTCCGGAATGTTTCACGAGTTCGAGCATAGAGAATGCTGATTTCCCTTTGTTTATTTCTACTAATCAATGAGGCGTCAACATTCAAAGGTAAACATTTTAGAAGGAAACTACCCCCTGAGGTTTCTGTGAGGAATGAATACCATGGCAAAAATTAAATAATTGCTACTGGATGCATACTTGAGTGGCCGCTTTGAGTAGCAGTTACCATGTTTATAATGCTGGCCCGAATCATTTTTTTCATACCCCGAGTACCATCGATATTCTACTGCCGATATCTTCAAGCAATAAACGCCAAGACTTTAACATTCCTTTTGTCAGCGTTGATGTCACATTAGAAAACTAAGGGGATGACCTAAAACATTCCTTAGGCTTTCGTTCAAAGTGATGGCTTCGCCATCTTGTGGAAATGGCCTCCTCTTTAGTACGTTTAATTCAGTCAAATATGTCCTTTAATACTGTTTACAAGCTTAGCTTTACAAAACTTCCTTCATCTTGATCATGTTCTAACTAACTTTCGAGCTATTTTGCATAAGCTACTTCTTTAGTTGACTATTAAACCTCTGTTTTTCCAGAGATTCTAAGAATCTATTCTAAGACTAAGCGGACGCCGTTCAAAACAACAGTTGGCAAGACTTTGTCGCAGCTGGAGCTGCTGACGCTTACGCATCACTTTACTAAAATTAAAACCTCCCAATCAAGTGCCTCCTTTATCGGTCAACCGTCTTTTGAGTTTTATTCCCTTTATAATCCCTATTTCTCACTTCAGTGGAAGAGAAAAACCTAAATACTGCTCCTTTAAGACTCTACTTTCACTGTCCCATCGACGATTTATGCTTAAAATAAACTGTTAACCGTCACTGATCATCCACCAAAAAAGACTGCATTCTCCGTCGTTTGCAAGGACATAAGGATCACCTTTTGCCGTCCTACTAGAACATGCACTTACACTAAAGGAGTGGAGATTTATTCAGTGTGGGGCTTGGCAAAGGCCATCTCGCGATGTTGTCTGTCCGAAACTCCTGTCAAGAAAGCCCTCTCTGTCTTATTTCTGGGATTAAATTTCTGAATATCATGTCATTACGTAGTTCAGATTCCACGAATGACGTTTAAATTAACCTTAATAGGTAAAAAAATTATTTAAATGAGCATAGATCTTCAAACTTTTGAAGACCATCTTTTATCACCCATATGCTTCCTCTATCATGCATAGTTGAAGTCAGTATAATTAATGTACTATTATTTTGTGTTTAAGTGATCGGTCAGAAAACTGGTACAGGTGGGAGATTTAAAAGGACCGGGTGAATAAGTTATGGTTGGCAATAAAAAATTGGAGACACATGAAACTGAAAAATACAATCTCTTGAGACGGAGTGAATAGCCGACATCATGACCTTCGTCCGAGTGCTGTGCCTTTGAAATTACGCTTTTTGGTTGGCAAGTAAACATTCAATACTTCCCCGCTTTAAAATAGAGCCTAATTGCAGCCCAAATTAGTTCTTCGAGGTAATAGGGGACAAGAGTCTTAGTCAGAGAAGGAACACAGCCGTATTTTATGGTCACATGTTTGATATGGCAGGAGTTTTAATTCAGTTCGAGTTCAAGAATTTTTGTATTGGTGCGTTTGCAATGCTACGATGCGTTTTTCAACAACTGAGGAAATTATACACTACCAGCATATACTATGTCCGTATTCAAGTAAATTACCCTACGGGGAGAATATCACGCATACGTAATTTCACCGTACGACAAAATATTTTGATTTTTGCATGGCAAGAAAATCTTCTGGTTTCAGTAGGAAAGGGGTGCTGCGAAAGAATGGAAAGTTATTTAATCTTCAGATAGATACTGCCGTTGGCGGGAAATATTTCCAGAATTTAAAATACTCTGCTCCCAAGTCAGATTTTTTAAAATTTGTTGGTTGTTTACTTGGAAGTTGCCATCAATTACTTATGACTTCCTCACACACACACCCTTGTCAACATAGTTTGTATTTATTTATCCTTTCTGGTCCTAGGAAGTCTAAAAAGAGCTTTACCCCACCGGTTGCTTCGATGTCCTTGTTGACTACATTCTCATCAAATCCACTGACATTGTGACATTAAGCAAAGTTTCTTTCTTTAACTCTGTTCATTCCGCCTCATTAAAAACCCAGACAGCTGTTTCCTGTACATGCCGGTAGGCAAATAAAGGAAAGCTTTGCAGTCTTATCATTGCTTGTCATATTGATAATGGCCACCAAGAGGAGGAAAAAGCCTTTCAGAAGTAGAAATTGCGAGACTAACTTGGAATGGCACAACCAACAACACTATGCATACACGGATAGTAGGGCAAAAGTGAAAAATCCTCGTTAATATCCGCTTGTATTAATACGATTACATAAAAATCAAAGTAGTCCTGACCAAATGTCACAATATGCTACCGTACGACTTGCAGGTGCTTGCTCTGTGCCCACATGTGTGCTAATATCTTCAGTAAAACCATATATAATAATGAAATGTAAATGCATATTTATAAAATCACGGCTTCAGCCACGTTTATATCTCTCTGAGTCCAAACGGACTGCATGAACAGAAATTAATCTTAGACATTTCTGGAAAATCTCGCTCGATGTTTGAAGTTTACATCCTTTCGCTCACATGGAAGAGTCGAAATTTGTTTTTCTTAATGTTTTACTATTATACTCGTTTTCTTAGATTTAGGAAATTAGTTTTGCTAGACCACATTATTTTTAATACGGGCCTCTTCTTTCTTAATATCATATTCAGCTTTGGATGGCAATAATTTCAGTGGAATTTTTATAACTGAGATTGTTACAAGGAGAATTCAGCTGGTTGAGATAAAGCGGACTCCTTAGTGCAAAACAGAATAGTGCCCACTCCTAAGTGACTTAGATATCAAACTCTTCGCGTTGCTGTTCGTTTTGCTTGACTACCTGTTCATGTGATAGAGTCCCAAATTGCAAGTGTGCTGTTAACAATTACGTTTCTCCTTTTCTGGCATGATTGTGTTCTTGACTGCATGATTACTTCAGCAATTATGCGGCCAACACTGGTGAGTAATTCTCCGCATGGCACAACAGCGCATTACCCACCATAGCATAGTTGACGCGTTAAAGATCGTGGATTGGAAGGCTACTAACTAACGGGATAGCTCGGTATTTTGGAGTGACTGGAAGACTGAGAGTCGCGATTGAACGAAACCTTCTAGATAAGTCTTTACGGCACCTTCACACATGCGAGATTCGACGCGCCCTTGTTCCAGATTTGTAAAACCGAAATTATGGTCGGGTTAAGTGTGAGACACGTAGACGAGCCTTTTTAGCTTTGCAGGTTACGGAGTCAGCGCCCACCTCCAGTCGTCTTGATAATCACCTGCTGTCTGAGTAAGGCGGGTGGGAGAAAGATATGGTGTGGCAACTACCACGCAAAGGTCGCTTGCTATAAACATTTCACGCGAAATTCGGCACCCATTCCCTGGGCTGCGAGCTGTCGTTTGCGACAGTCGAGCTGTCAACTGGAAGGTAAAGCAATCCCTCACGATAGTTGATTGTCAATGTCGCTTCAATCTTCATCGAATAAAAACAAAAAAACGTTATTTTGCATTTGCGCAACGCAAAGCGAAATTTCTTCTAAGTAGAAAAGGTTTAGGAGATTTTTTCATTTACATTTGGATACTTGGGCATCAGGTCGAAGTATGTTGGCTCACCTGACTCTATACTGTACTGTCTCAACCAGCAGCCGGAAACAAGAACTTCCCTCCGTGAAGACATAGAGGTGGTCATTTTTAAAGGCGTCAGAGACGTAGGAAAAAGTCATTTTCAGAATTAATGTTAAATTCTCCGCTATGCTGATACTGACGAAGATTCAACTCCTTTTTATTTCAGCGATGATACCCATGTAAATATTTAAGAAGTTACGTCGGCAGACGTACGTTTTTGATTATTCCTCACCAGGCCTGATCAGTAATATAAGGGAGGACAGTGTAGTAAACGTTTAAACGGCCAGTAAAAGTCGGTATGGGGAAGAGGGTCAAAGGTCAGGGGTCATATTTTAATTCTGTCAGGAGCTTAGGGAAGGGGACAGGGAAGGTGTCTGTCAATTAACAGGGACATGAGTGATGTTGGTGACAGGAAACTTGCGATGCATCTGCTTCACTCTTTTCTCCCCCATGCATCTGAGCCCGGTGTCAAGATAGAGTGAAGGAGACCGAAAGGGAGACAAGGCACAGTGACTAAACAGCTCGCCCAAGCTTACTATACACGACCTGGTTCCACAAAAAAACACGGCGGGTTATCACAAAAGGCAGGTAGGGGACTCGGATTTCACGTACATTTTAGTGTCGTAGAGGTCACATGAAGGAGGAGCCAAAGATCACATTTGCCGCTCGGTTCGGCCTGCTATAAGTGATGTGTGAGGGGTTCGTGTGTGGTGTATGGGCTCGTGGGGAGATGAGTGGTAAGGTAGTTTGGTCTGCGCTGTTTACCGCAGACCTGCATAGAGGCATTTGTAGCCGAGTAGGCCCATGCAGTGACTGAATGTGGGTAAGTAGTGCGGGCAGCTAGGTCATATGTACGTTGTGTTCCTGACACTGTTTCGCCAGTCTGAGTGTGATGTATTCACAAGTGACCAACCAGGACAATGCGCGATGTGGAATTGCGATCGCAATGGGGGCAATTTCGGAGGAAGCATGAACTGCTGATGTCGGAGGTGGTGGTGGTGGTGAGGATGAGGAGGGTGGTTGGTGGGACGTTACGAATGCTTTCTCCGGCAGTGGGAGTGGGAGGAGTAGTAGTGGTTGTCTCTGTCGTCACACGGCGATGACCGTGGTGATGGAGGCGGTAGTGCGAGGCAGTGGCGGTGGAGGGACGTCCGATTCTGCTCACCGGTGGTGGTGATCGCATCTCGTGGGCATCATATTGGTTGCGGCAGGAGGTGACTATGGAGCCGCTTGCGGATGCAACCGGAATTGTCGTGTTGTTGCTGCACTGCGCCTGAAGACGTCCGATAAGGCCGATCCGCGTATAGAATGTCTGGTGACAGCGTGGACGCGTCGAAAATGGTGATGTTTGGGTTGAGGACTCTAGCGTTGGCGACTTTTCTGCTCGTATTTTGTCTTCTAAAACAAGTACGCGGTTGGCTTAATAGACAGCTGCTTCAGACGTCACTGCTCTACTTCACACCGATCGATCCACAGTGCGATCATTCCAGATGTCCGGATTTATTTCTACATCCTTGAGGGAGATCGATGTAACTACGCTTTCCCCTCCTTATTAGGAAGCCCCCGTAGCGATATAGTCGCAGAAGAGTAGCTTGGGTTAGAGTTCGTCATCCATAGTCTTGGGATTGCTGCTCCATCGCAGTTACGGTTGCCTCAGCATGGCTGAGCATTCCGATACGGGCTTATGTCCCGCCATCCCAGCTTTGGTATTCTGTTAGAGCAGACGAGGTGGAAGTGGCTGAGCTTCCTAACTTGGTTGGCGAAGATCGTTCTCATATCCGCCCCGTAGCGTGGTGTCGTCAAGATTAATATCCTTTATATCTTGAGGTTGGTGTTCAGGTGAAATATCGGCTATTCCAGACTGAGGTCTGTGGCCAGCCTGGCTGAATACTCAGAAAAGGTGAGCTACTTCGTCGGTAGTCCTGACATTTCGTAAGATTGCGCTGCCGATTTATACAAATTTGTCCATCGTGGGAAAGTGAGCTTCGTTGGCGGTGATGTGGGGTTCTCTGCAATCCTTATTTGGCGTCCGTTGATGCATGAGTGTCATTTTCTCCTGCTGATGGTCAGTCCGAAGTTGGCAGAGACAGAGGCGAAGAGGTCTACGGGCCTTTGCATGGTCGCTTTCGTCGTTGGACTGAGTGCGCAGTCATCCGTGAGCCTGCTTACATGTGCCGTGCGCTGAACGGTTACCCTTCGGGCCGGTAGGCAATTTTGATTTCTGGCCACATCTTACGGCACGGCATAGTGAAGAATACGAGATAAAAGAGAGTTAGGGTGAGAACACAAGCCTGCTCCGCTCTATCGTTTGCTACAAATGCGTCCGGGACTACCCCATTGTCCATGCTGTTCGCCTAATTATTGTACATACAGGATTGAAATGGGCGTGCCGATTGTTTTCTTTTTATTGGGGAGAAGTATCCACTTCCAACGCAAGCAATTGCAAAATCCGTACTAAGCAACTGATAATGTTTTCTGAACGTTCATTGATTACCATTTAGCTTCGCAGATAAAAGCTTCTATATTTGTTCTTTTGAGTTATTGCAGTTCATTCTTACTCTTGAGCAGAGATATCTGGAACAGATGCGATTGCACGCCACCCGATGGTTGCCGGGTGAGCCGCTCTCGTGGATTGATTTAGGCGCCCTTCGATAGTTTTAGTGCGGAATTCACTATTCGGTCTATATTTGACGAGAAAATTAAGAGCACCAGCTTCAATACTTGCTATTCCCCCTTTGTGATTTGAACTTCAAGGTAGACGTGGTTGGGCAGTTCGTGAAAACTCTGTGGCCTGCTGTTCTTCATCGTATGTCTATTTAAGCCGTCTGTGCAAAACATGTCACATTAATTATGATGCCACAGATTTGAATAGGATTTTACCACAAATTGGTCTGCTTCATAAACTTTTCAAAAGCAGCCGACAGGGAACTGGAAGGTCAAATAACTACTGTTTCTTGAGCTGTCCAGAAGGCAGCTCAGTTTTCAATCCACTCGGTTAGGTAAATCAAAAGTTTGGCTGACATCGACTCCGAACATGGACATATCCTGTCCCTTCCCATTTCGTACTCTACGCGTGCACTGGGTCCCATTCTCAGCCAAGAATCCACGTACATGATACGCCGTGAGAAACCAGGGACAGGCTGTACATTTGCCACCCGTTAGGGCACGGCTGTGTACTCCCCCGAACTGTCTTACTACAGGGCGCATTTGTAAAGCTCTAAAACGAGCACGCATTGTAAATTCGATTTTTTTCTCTTGGATGTATATTTAAGAACACCACGTTACATCTTCTAAAAGCCGTTTATTACTGCCATTTCTGTATTAAAGTTGATAGTACGCCAAAGCGCCTTGAAGATGCACACGTTTGCCCCATATATGTTAGCATTCGTTCAATGTCTCTGATAGGCTGTTGCCCGAATCAGTAAATTCAGCTGAATGTGGTGACTGTTCTGACAATAACTGCATGGCTGCAGGCTGGCTGTGTGCTTTTTACCCTGAATACTTCTCAGTGTTTTCTCGGCTTGTTCTATGTCAATTTACAACTCTGCTAAAATAAGACTGATGCATTTGCTTATACAAATTTAACCAGCAAGCTTCTTCAATTTGGTCTTTTTTGTGACACCTTCGAAACCCCACACAAGCGTGGAATCTCTCTTCGCTTCTATTAGAAATATCATAGACTCTTATATGATCCCTTAAGGCGCATTACATATGTGGTCGAAGAGCCTTCCTTCGGAGATGACTACGGCAAATTAATTGGAGATGGGTAAATGAGTCATTACTCTATCTTCGATTAGTGTCGGGCGTGCCGATACGACCGATAGGTGTTCCGTGCTTGACCACACGATCAGTGTGTCGTTTGGGTTAGCTTTGCTTCCAATAGTCGACTTTAATTTACTCCCCACCCTCCTACTCTCCTTAGACCAAATGACTCGGCGACTGATAATGGGACTTCGTGACCTGTTTGGAAGTTTTGGTCAACAACTTGGGCTAATGCGTCATCTTCGCAGTATAACCAGCGTGTATTCCTGTACGAGCCATCTGGAATTGCATTGAATCCGACCTCTGTTATTGCGTAGATAGTTTTCTCCAGAGACCCGCCACACTACTCACACTGATAATTTTGACCCGTCTAGCCCTTCGGAATGCCATTCTGTCAAAACTTGTCGCGAAGATATTTGGCCTCACGCATACATATTTTCGCCAAAGGTGCAGTTGCTGGACGAATTTACACTGAGATTACAATTTGCACTTCGGTTTTCAACATATGCCTAAGGAAGTTACAAACTATGTTTGCAAACCAATCATCAATGATGAAGCTGGCTTTTACCAGGATGGATCTGCGGTTAGCAGAATACCACGTTTTTAATCATCCAGAATACCCAAGTCACTCATCAGCATGGATTCCAACCTTTATCGTTAGTGTTTGTTATCGCGTAACAGCCAAAATACGGTCGGTCGTTTCTGATACGAGATAAAAGAGGACAATGCACTTACTGAGACGGATGAGCGAGATTCAAAAACGATGAAAACTTGTGTGAGTCCTACAACGGTCAAAGGGCTTAGGGACATTGAGGCATTAAGTTTGGGGAGACCGCCCAAGTGTCCAGAACCAAAATGCAACCACGAAGGCATCTAAGTTCGCACGACATGACAGAAACAGAACATTCACCGAGACGCCGGCTAAAGGGCAAGGGGACGTTAAATGGCCAGGACTCGACCAGGAGATTAGAAAAAAACAAGAGGAAAATGCCATTAACGAAAATGAAAGCAGCCATAGGCAGATGACAGGCAAGACAAGCGCATGATCTAAAAAGACTTTTATTTGCCTGGCGATCGAGATTTCTACATGGATCCATCACCAGAGACGACTACGCACAAGGGGGGTTGAGGGAAGAGTGCAGTATTTATAAGGCGCAGCTGTCATGCAACCACATCTATCGAAGTTATCTGCGTCTGACGACTGCTTCCGGTCCGTGTGCAACTACAACTCTCAGTGGTATGAGGTGACGGCTGCTGGCTTCCGAGATGCTCTTGGCGTACTGGAGTGCCTGTAAAACTTTTGAGCAGGTGCTGTCTATTTTTAGTTTCATCTGCACATGAGTTAGTAACCATTGGTTTTGAGCACTCGTTGGATGTATGACACATCGGCAAATCTGTCTTGCAGTTCACTACAGTACGTCTCATAAAGCCAATCTAACGTCCTTACGCAATTTTGTTTGTGGCTCATTGAGTAAGTTATCGCTTTCCTGAACATCATAGCTTTCAGAGTGCCTCACCCTTCGTCGGAAACTGAGACAACAAGGTCATGTGGTTGGTTCGTTCTTCCTTAATCGACGGTGTTGAGGTGTCTTTTGAGTGTTAACATCTGATACTCTCCGATTTTGACAAAGTTATCATAAGCATACAGCCAGGAATTTCGATCTGTGGTGTTGGAAAACCAATTACTGCAACGCTTACAGGACTGTCTCGTCTATGTGCCTCAATATCGATGAACTCATTGGTGTGACTCTAGTCTGCTCATAGACTGTCCAATCGAACGTGAAGTACCTCATCAGTCAAAATCTCAGAAAAATGGGGTTTGGATGTGTCCGAGTCGGTTCACCGATTCACTGTATCTGATGTGCTGGAGCAAAATACTGAGGAACAAAATCAAAGAAAGACCTGATATGAAACGATAAAGTGACAGGTGACTTACCCCGATGAGTTTTTTCAAGAACTGTGCAGCGTCAACGTTATTACCCGCGTCTGCGTAGCTGCGGGCAAAGCGACTGCATCAGAGGAACATTAAAATTTTCCTGTACGTGGATAGCTGCTGAAATTAAGAGGAATGATGACGTCTCTAATTTTGTTATTCCCTCAATAGGACCCAGTCACATCCCGAAATTCGACGGGGACGAAATTATAGAGAGAGCCGACATGCGTGTTGAAAGCGAGCGGCTTGAGTCATGGTTTACCGACCGACAACCTACTAACAAATGCAATGACCTCCCCCTTCCATATTCAGCGCTTGAGCCCTGTCTGATCGCGCGCGTAGCTGACGAGCAGTATCGGCGCGTCACGGCCAGCGCACCCATAATTAACAACGGTGATGGGATGTGAGTAATTATGTACGCGGATGTGATCGATGAAGCCATCATCGCACCACGGGCAATCGTCGGCGATGAATGCGCAGACTGTTAA